TCAACTCCTATTGACTGCTCCTGTGTAGGCATTTTCATTGAATGGCTACTGTCGCCTTTCATGTTGTCTTATGGAACTGATACAGCGGGGTTCAGCCCGAATTATTGGGGCCTTCACAGATACGTGGCTGCAAACGATGAAGTTTTTTATCCATGCTTCAAACGCCCTAGACTTTCGTATCATTTCATAAATGTCTCATTTGAGACATACAATTTAATCAGCCACAGTTACTGCGCACATTTTGGATCAGACACAGACCTCTCGTCCTTAAAGGAAGCTGATAGTAAGAGATTACAGACAAAGACAAGGCAGACTGATACGGCCATTTCGGCTTATCAGCCGTCGTCAGTCAGCCTCACCCAGCCTTACCCTTCCCGAGGTTCGGACCCTGGTTCCTCTTTCGGGCCCCAAAGCACAAAAAGACGAGTGTGTCTTTCAACCCGATCAATAAAGGCACGCCTAACAAGGCTGACAGTAGTTCATCCGTTCCAAGAAAATGGATGAGAAGAAAATTTACTGTCCTTTTAGTTTCCGTTGAAATAAACAATATTGTATCGGGAGACGTAGGAGGACCCACAGTGCTGGGGATAGTTTCTCCGTCTTTGTTTGTGAAGGAAAAGTAAACAACCTGACCCAGGACGGTATTTTTTGTCACAGGAACAGAGCCATTAGTCACCAACAGCTGAGAAGCACTGACGTGACTTTTGCCACTACAGTTCAAAGACCCTGAAATTGGGCAAGCGAAGTAAGTAAATGCTAGTCAGACGATTGAATGGGAATGAGCGGAATCGTTCACTCTCAAGGAACAAACATATCGCCTACACTTCTTGACTAAAAGCTTGTTTGGCGATGTTAGTCCAACATCGTCTCGGTTTGCACTTCCGTAAATTATCAGTTTGGTTACTACCCCGCGATCTGTTTGAATTCGACTAGTGGCGATTGGAGTCATTATGACTTGTGTCGGGTTGGAGTGGAAACGGTAAATATTCAGTGAGAGGCCAGATGACACTGACAGCATTTATGGTTCCAGGGCATGACGGGCTAGAGAGGACACTGAATAAGTTCATAACAGTTACCAAACCTGCTTTCCCTGCTTTTATTGGTTCACCTCTGACACCAGAGTAACAATTTAACTAACATAAGTTTCTACTAAATTCACATAAGTACAATAGGAAGTATGCTACGAGAATCAACAGCATTTTCCCCTCGGTGCTATCACAGACGTTGGCCGTTACGGACCTCGGCATTCGTATCTGAAACCCCTCAGTCCTGTGCGAAATTATACCACAGGCTCAACCAAGCATGCTGCAGGAAGTCGCATTACTGCCTAGATACTCTAGTTGTTCCCTGAAATCATTCAAAACTGACTAACCGTTAAACAGAATTCAGTCTGCAATTTCCAGATTTATTTGCATGCATTAAAAGGAGTAAATTTTGGAGGACAGAGGAGACTTGCGCAGCAGCGGTTTTCATATTATCAGAGGGCTTCAGCCGATACGTACTTATTTATGCATGAGTACACACTAATCCAGAGCACTTTTAGAATAGACTTCGAGGTGTGACTGTCGAGGTGACCGTCATTAATAAGCAAAGATATTTTATGGATTTATGGAAAAATAAATATCCCGGAAACACCCTCGATTAATGATGTAGGAGAGTTAAGCACAGTCGCTCGAATATTTCATAGATGTCTCAACCTAATGTCTATGGGCATTATTTTGAAGTGTATAATGCTCCCTATAGATGAAAAGGGTGCTTTTGTTTCCCGTCCAGTGTACTAAGACAAGCCAGAAGCATTATATTGCTTTATCCACAAGCGACATCAGGAAACATGATCGCATAGAGGCAAGACAACCTTACTTTGGGGGTGTCGTAAGGGTCAACAGGAATACTTAACACAGGGAGAATTGTCATTCGGATGCTTCCCCACTTTCCAAAATCCACCAAAAGTCACGGAGCCTCTAATATCTCCCTGATATGAGATCCAAATAAATGTCAGTGCGAGAGCTGCGAAGTTTAATGAGCAGATACAATTACAAGTTACGACATTGGCCTTCGCGTAGCACATAATCGCCGCCATGATCCGTCCATATGGCAATGGCCCCGTCGTTTTGAAGGTAAGTTCAGGCCAAGAGCGCAAGAGTCTTTACACGGAGATCCGTTTGAGGGTTATGGGCTTGCAACTAAAGCGGGGTTGCATCAAGTGTCTTATCTCTCGCCACTGCTTTCGATATTCGTCGTAGTCCGAGGTGTACTGTTGAGCCAGCAAGGCAGTCATAGATTCAGGCTGGTCGCTCAATTCCTTCTAAAGATAAGAAGAAGAACGCTCAGCGGAGAAAATAACAAATATAAAAACAGATGGAGGAAGGTCGTAGTTCCACACATCTTGAAAATTACAGAAGTTCCACTCACACGACTGGGAAATCTAAGGCCAGACCACTCGGTCTGCAGCATAGAGAGCGAGAGACTTATTTGTAGTGTAGCTGGCTCTCGCGGCACCAACCTCACCCTTTCCTCCCTCACCCACCTTGTTCCGATGGCAGGGCAAGGCTAAGTCGACCGTAGATGGGCGTCGTTGCAGTGGCTGGTAAAGTTCAATGACTCGTCTACGGTACGACGTACGAATTGGGTTCGAATTGCCCGCGTCTCAGGTTATATTTGCAAGGGGGGTTCATATCTCACTTTGCTGGGAGTGCCATAGAGGCCTCACTAAGATGGGACCAATGATGTCTGAATCGTAGCCCTGAGAATGATCGATTTACTACGTCAGCTGATGCCCTTCCGTGCTACGACTGACAGCGTGCCGTGATGGGTTCAAGAGTCTCATACCTATTATAACGAGCAATACTTTGCTTTGCTATGGTCCCGCTTCTTTCTTCCGAGGCAAACCAACTGAGGGTGAGCTTGACTGAAACGGATGACAAATCTAAACGGCCCGTCTGTGTATGTCCCACACGACCCGGTTTTCATTTGCTGCACCAGGTTAAATCAAGTGAGATGTGCACATTCCCACATGAGGCGCTTTGTCAGTCATAACGACGCTGGTAGGTCGGATCGCGTGCATGATGCAGATGTCAGGTGTGGTCTCGCCGACAAGTATCGTGCACTTGCGTGTTACGGGGTAGGTCCATATATGGCCTGGGGATGTATGTGCGAGTGAGTTGGGCGAAGCTTTGTGACAGAATCTGGAATATATTGGTATACCGAAGATATTTGTGGATGCAAATGCGCTCAAATAGGCCAATGTAGTGTCCGAATGACCTAGGACAAAGTGAACGGGTGGAGGGTGTGTGATGGGTTTCAGACACTAGTTCTCTGGTAGCAATAAGAGGGTTTTGCAAGTGACCGAAAGTACGGTCGCAATGGAAACAGGTGAGATCTGAGTCCCAACTGCTGGTGGAAGGGGGGATGGTGGGCCTGATGAGAGGAGTGTCCTCGGCGTTTAGACTGGTGATGGTGGTATTTCACGAGACCGAAGAGGGTGGTGGCGAGAATACAACCCTGCTTTACCCTATTTGCCAGTGCAGATGTCTCCGGTATTGACGTGTTGTCCGTAAGGTGCGTCATTACCTCGAACAGTAGGTGTCACCATTTGCATACAATTCCCCGGAGTCCATCGTTGTTCGTGGCGTCGAAAGCCTCCGTTAGATGCATGAAGGTGATGTAGAGATCGGTTTACATTTACTGGAACGTTTCTTGAAGTTGTTAGGCTGAAATCGTGTCCGTGGTCCCACGGAGTTTGCGGAATCTACGTAACGTTTTTGGTAGAAGTCCCTGCTCAAGATACGTGTTCAGACGCTTGAGTAGGACGCAGCGGACATTTTCATACAGTGCTGAAGAGGAAGATGTTTACGTGGTTATTACAGAGGTGCCGGCTCAACTGCCATTTGTATAACTTGAAGATGGCAAAGTCCTTGTAGTACTGAGAAATTTGTCTTTATCGTCACACCTTTCGACTTAGTTAAGAAATGCTGTTCAAGAGTTGTGAGGATCGCATTTGTAAATTAGGGATGGAATTGCGTCGGCTTTCGGTGCTTTTCCACTGGCAGCTGTTGCACTGTATTGATTGTCTCTCGAAATGAAGGCGAGTGTTCGAAGTTGTCAATGGTGTTTACCTGAGAAAATCGGTCGATTGTTGCCTCGCAGATTATGGATGATGATTGAGGACGCCCCTGAAGTGTTCGCCCCAACGCTCTCGAATCTGCTACTTCCCAGTCAGTAGGGTTGTGCCGTCTTGGCTGAGTAATGGCACAGTCGTCTTTGCTTTAGGAACCACAGACTTCATTGATTATCACGAATAAAATCTTAATCTCATAGTGGTTAGTATATCCTTGGATTTATTCAGTTTTGTAAGTTAACAAATCGTTCTGCACTTCCCTTAGCCAGAGCAGCAATGGGCTTCGACATCGGAAGAAAGCGACCTTATTGATATCGGTCTCGTTGCTGGCATATAGTATAGACCGCTTTTGTGGGAATGAAATGTAGAATTGCTTCGTCGTTGCCGTTGAATCAGTCTCGGTGTTGTTAGTTGGCGTTACCGAGTTGTGGCCTGAATAGAACCCCTTAGGTTACTCCATAGGTTTCATCGATAGCGTTTTCTTGCATTTGTTTCATTTTGAGTGTTATACGGATGCTAAAATGCAATCGGCGTTCAGCTGTATCCAGTAATACAACAATTGGCTTACCTGATGTCTGAGTAGTAGGCAGATGCATGCAGGATTGCAGTCGCAGCCTCACCTTCCAGGTGACAAGGCGGCAGTCCATCCAACAGTCGCAACTACTTATCGCCTTGGTCACTAACACGTCACGCTGGTCGCGATTCCGAAGTAGGATGCAGTTCAGCAGATGGCAGTGACACGAGCGAGGATGCATTCAAGTCACCTTCTTGGGGGTCAGAGGGCGGAAGGCGTTGGTCAGGAGAAGATTGTGTTCCTTAAAGGCCTGCAGGAGAAGAAAGTCGTTGCTGTTGGGGTTGCCGACGTCCTGGCGACAGAGAACTCCTAGGCGGTATGTTCTGTCCCCACGAGGGCATTGAAGTCATCAAGAACGACTAGTTTGCCCGCCTCCAGCACGGTTGCTAGGGCGGCATGCAGGCCTTCATATAACTTGTTCCTTACGTCATTGGAGCTGATCAGTGGGGGTGGGGCATATGTTATAGCGGTGGTGGCGAATTCGTTCCTGCGAGGTAGCAGCCTGGTGGACATGAGCCGGTCGTTGACGCTCTGTGAAAAACAGGACAACCACGAAGTCGTTCCTGATCGCAAAAGCAACTCCGGCTTTTCGTCGCCCTGACCTTGGATATCCGCTCCAGAAAAAGGTGTGGCTGACACCCACCTCCTTCATTTGACCATGTTCACAGAAGCGGGTCTCACTGACAGCTCCACTATGAACTTTGCAGCGGACCAGTCCGGGGGTGACCAGAACTGTCCTCATTTCCAGACGGTTTGCCATTGGATAGTCTAAAAAGGAACCAACGTTCTAGGTTGCCAGAGGGGCATTGTTCACTCTAACCGCCTCTGGGGAAGTACAGGAAGGGTTTTTGTTGCTTTTTTTCGGCCTCACTTTTTCGCGTCCGCAGGGTACTGTCAGTTTGCTGACGGATTGTGTCACCGACAGTTTTTAGGGCGCTTTTTCTAGCCCCCTCCCACCCGAAGCCGTGGGCAGTGTCACCTCCATATAAGGTTGCACAGTCATCCAAGTCGGCCACCGAACTTCACCGTGTTATGGCTTTGGTACAGAGAGAATGCGGCTCAGATTAGCGTTAGTAGCCTGTGGAATTGCATATCGTCCTCTGCGTAAAACTTTTTGTCTGGGGAGTCGGAAGATGAGGATCAGTTCGGGACTGCCGGGCACACACACGCCGGACACCCTTACCTGATTTGGCCCGTTGGTCAAGACGGTCACCAGGGTGTGACCGCCGTGCTGAGCGCGGCCTCGTGGAGCCCCAGACGAAAGTGGGAAGCCATGGTGTGGTGAAGTGCGAGTATCCACCCCGATCGTCGGTGCGTTTAGTAGGGGCCGTCAGGGTACTGCTTGTAAGTTCTTGCTACGACCGTGGTCGTACCTTCGATAGCAGGTCCTGATGGTGTCGTTACGTGTGCTATATCTACTTGCGTGACAGTTTTCGACAGTGTACTTAAGACGGGGTATCTTTGTCAATTGTTTTCGTGCAATGACCGTCCATCCGCGTCGACGTATCGGGAGTGGCCGTACAGGTAGGACATGGGTCCTCGGCCAGAATGTCCCATATATTTTAATAATGTGAGTTGTATGGGCATCAGAGCTTCATTTCCCTGAATATTGATCGTTTCGTACAACCAACGAAACAAATGCTCGTAGAGTGTTCACTCAAAAATATTCATGTGCTATATTTCACGGTTTAGCAAGTGGACACAAAAGCGACTCTAGGGAGGAGCCAGTAATCTGTTAAATGCCCGGTTCCTTCGAAACGTGGTTGCTTGTACGAACTGTCAACAATCGCAGGCTGAAATCTCAGTAAAGCAATCAATCCGAACGTACTCTATGATATGCAATCATTATTTAACACCAGCCTTGGTAACATTTAAGCGAGTGATTTCTGTATAGACAAACGCTGGTTGGGTATTTTATTTGTTTGACATCTGTGTTGCTATTCTCTATTCCATATTCTTTAAAAATTCCAGCCTGTCGTTGCGTTTGACCTTGTAATCTTTCCCAAAAGTCGCCTTCAACGGTTCCAAAGTGCCTGCATGATTATCGAATGATCTCATTGGGAAAGAGGCAAGGCAAAAGAAACGACCTTGCTTCTTGCAGTCACTTTGCTGTTCCGTTTGTAGATGTGATCACTGTCAGCTGATAAAAAAGTTTCGTCAGCAGATCCGCAAACGGCGACACCCTTGCGTACTGCAAACATCATTAACTACCCCCCCCCCCAGTTTGTGAAAACTTGACATCTTGTGCCTGGGGGGACCAGATGGCGTGTGGACCGCGTAGACGAGTTAATGCAGCTCTGTCAGGTACTGTTCCCAACCCCAGCATCAGATGACTGACCGACTCAGACAGTGGTCTGGCACATAGAGAGAGAGAGAGAGAGAGAGAGAGAGAGAGAGAGAGAGAGAGAGAGAGAGAGAGAGAGAGAAGAGATGGAGGCCGATACTGGAGAATCCGCATCCACGGCACTTCAGCACATGTCCCGCTGTAATGGATCCGACGCGCTTTAAGATTATCCTGGTGTGCTGAAAGTGGTGGCTTAGAAGGCCGCCAACTGACAGGATAACTCGGTCCTCCTGGTCAGTACTGTGCGTAAGTCGGGTGACTAGCTCCAGGACTGGAGGTCAAGCTCAATGGCTCCATCTTAATGTCGTCTCTATGGCACTTTCACGAAAGTGAGATCCGAGCCCCTTTCTGTGAAAATCTGGTCCATCTTGTGCGCATCAGGCGTACGAGATAAGTGTAGAGGCGCTGTTTAGTTTTGTCGGCCACTACGCTCAAGCCTGTCTTCGGTTGTCTTGACACTATCGTCCTATCGGAGCCTGGTAGGTTAGGCAGGAGATATTGTGGTAGCTGCTGCGAAAGTCTGTCTTACTATGAAACAATTTACGCACAAGTCACCGGTGCTGCGTCCACGCCGTGGGGCACAGGGTGGAAGTAGTCGCTCGCGACAGTCAGACTATCACACATTATAACTAGATGATTCTACGGTTTCCGAACTCTACAGGGGATACTGGAGACAAAAGCCTCCCAGAAGGTCCAATTAATAGTCATAACTAGTGAACTATCTTTCTCAGCTATAGGTTTTAAGCGTGGAAATTGGGGAAGAAGGAGTCATTATGTCTTATTTGAGAATCATAGTGTTAACTATTTCCATAGTACACAATTTTCGATGTCATTCTGGGTAACCTATAAGCAGCCAAAGCCCATTCCTACCCGACCGTTTCTTTTGCAATAACCCCCTTTTCTTCTGTCCCAGGAGAGAGCTTTTATTAATGACTTTAATGGTTTAAAATTACGCGAAAATAGCGGTATCCAAGGAAGACGCAAGATATTGAATGCAATAGTTTACACAACCCACTTCTATAATCACTTCTTCTTTCTCTAAGAGAAGATGAAGAACAATTGAAACTGACCTTCGGGAAGCTCAAACAGGTTCGAACTTCGTACTCTGGGTTGGCGATCCGAACCTTGCGCAGGCGTTTGTTGTAGTCAGTGTAGCCAGCTCGTGCCTCTGGCAACCTCCCAGGGATCATCCGGATTTTCTTTGGCAGTGGCGGTGGTGAAGTCTGTGGTATTTTAGTGGGCAGTTTCTGTTGTCGAATGGGCTTTTTCTCGATGTAGGCAGGCAGACGATAACTGTAGTCCTCGCGCGCGGCCTCCCTAGCCAGATCGTTAAGGTGGTGCTTCAGGAGATATGGCCACTGACAGCGTGGTGGCGGTTGAGGCAGTTCTCGTACCGGCTCCTTTTCCTTGAAGCACAACAAATCTCGTCGGCCCCCCATACGGGCCACTCGCACAAAAGTAGTCTGAGCTGGCCGATAGTCCGAAACATTGGCGGGGATATCGTCACAGAGGATGTCACCCTCCTCGATTATTTCCTCTGGATCAGTACCCTTGAGTGTACATGCACAGCCAGGACTTTTATGTCTACTGGGTTCGGGAACGTCGTGGCACATCCAGCCCACACGGACTTTATTTTTCATCATCTTTGTGGTAAGGGATTGCTGCCAGTCAGTCAGGAGCCCTAAATGCAAGGACATTGACAAGTAGGTCAACAGGCAGATGCTCCTGGAATCGGAAGGGAGTTCAAAACGTAACACACCACCACCACCACCACCACCACCACCACCACCACCACCACCACCACCACCACCACCACTGCTATCAGTATTATTCTCAGCGCAAATTTCAATAACATGAGAATGTATTGAAACTCAGATGCACAAGAGATATTGCGGAAACATGGGACTGGTAGCATCCAAAATCTTCTATGCCTTGTGCGTTTGAAGTAGTCTTAAAAAATATTTCAGTATTATTCTCAGCGCAAATTTCAATAACATGAGAATGTATTGAAACTCAGACGCACATGAGATATTGCAGAAACATGGGACTGGTAGCATTCAAAATCTTCTATGCCTTGTGCGTTTGAAGTAGTCTTAACAAATATTTAAATGACAAGCATAAATGCCGGACATACTGAGGGAGAGCTGAGGAATGTAAATATTGAGGAATCTAACAAGCTAGTTTGAAAGAGATTGCCCTTAGCCGGGAAATATAGTCGAAAATTTGGTGGTTAGCGCAGTAGTAGTAGTAGTAGCAAAGACCAGAAATGAAGACCAGCCGTCATTAAAATCCCGCAGGTAAGTCCACTTACTGTTAAGAAAGTCCAACTGCGCTGGAAAAATGAACGAGCTTCCTTCAGGCCGCCTGAAAAAAACTACACTTTTTGAAAAAGGACTACATATGAACGAATTTCTCACATTTAATTTTCGGTGCCTTTGTAAATATGACGTTACTTGCTACCAAACGAGTGCACAGAAGAATAATTCTGTGTACGTTTTAAAAGATATTTGAATTTGGGAGGGCATCGAAGACCAATGGAAAATACTCATACTACTTAGGTAATCTCTTATTATGGGATGTAGTTTTCGCAGGGGACTGGAAGGAAACTCGTTCAAAAGCCGGCATCCTGGCGTAACTGAAGTGCCTTGGGATTATGGTGCAAAATAACTAGCTTTACAACCTTACTTATGTAAGCTCTTGGGACGAAAACACATTTTAACATTCCGGTTAACATTTCGCGAGATAGCACATCATCTGCAACTAAGATGTGGCTTTTGAAAATAATAAGAAACGATCTATAGTACTCCGCCGACATAGATGATAAAATAGGATGATACGAACAGTCCGAGAATTATTAGGATTTTTAAAAGGCCTCAGTATAAACAAGCGCACCAAATATGTGATGCGTTAAGCGTTGTTTTGTGGCAGATTTATCACGTTCACCACGAGAAAGCACCACGTCGGGACCTGGCACAGAAATTTCGAGTCAACCACTGACTTGGAAGAGTTATTAGCGAGAGACGCGTAAAAGTTATTCCCAAGCGATCGAGAACTTGCGTACGAAGGGGTGTAGTCGATAGGTTTTTCAAACGATCAAAGCCAACTTCAACTGTAGGGAGGACCCCAAAATAATAACAATACTAATTATAACTAAGTACCCCGTCGAAGTAAAGAACAGGTCGTTGAGGGTTAAGGGAAATCCACAAACTTTTGTAGTTAGAAATCATCTTCCGTTATTACTCCATAGACAGCTCACTGTAAAGGTTTGTCTGGTCTACGAACTTATCGATTTCCTGCTGCGTTGTACTAGTTCCGGATCATCACATGACAAAGGTGGCCTATCCTCGTTTTTGACTTTGGTTATCTTGCGCAAATCAGAGGGCGAAAAGAAATCAGATGGCGTTGCTTGAGATGGGGAAGAAAGAAGAGGGTTCCATTAGCGTGGTAACAGAAGACTGGGCAGAATTGTGTGTGATTAAGTCAGAATGAGTGCGCAAATCGTAGCGAAAGAGTCGCCAAAAATGCCAAAAATGCGACGTAGTTTTGAGCTATTGATCATCTCAAACCAGCAAGAAGAAATATTTATCTGTCCGGTGCTTAATATCAGACACAAAATATCCAGAGAGAATGCTTGGATTGGCGTCATGCTATTTATTTGAGAAACAAAATCACATGACACAAAATTTGATAACAGTGGGGCAGCCAGCTGAGGGGCTACAGTTCCATCTTATCCAACCTTAGGAGCCCAGAGCTAAACTCAGTGGAGGAACGGGGAAGCGCACGAGCCGGAAACCTGAGTAGACACAATCTGCCAGTAGAATCGAAGGGCCTGATCGACCAGTCCACAGTCGGAGGAAGTCAATAAGTACGTCACCATTTCTTTTTCCTGACTGGCGGGTTAGTGTTGTACATTTTAGGGACAACAGGTTTGCAGCTGGCCCGTGGTTTCATCAAGTTATCGACTTCCCGCCATTGCTTTCTGTACTCATCATAGTCCTCGGTGTATTTGTGTGCCAACAATTCAGCCATGGAGTTGGGCTGGTCATTCAGTTTTTTCTGGGGGCAGAATAATTAAAAATATTAATTCAGTGGAGGCATATTACTTCGAGAGATGGGTAGTTAAACGTCGACAGTCGACTACAGTTAAGTACATGAACCTATTAACCAGTCTTCTAGCAGCACTTTTAGTCGAATGTATGAATATCTTCAAAACACTTATTAAGGGATGCATCCATACTTCACGATACTTCTTAGGAGTTTTCCGCCATTTGATGGTCCACTGAAATCTTTTGAAGTAAACGTAGATAAGGCAATCACTGGGACGTGCGGCAGAAGGCGCCTTCTTATTTACATTAAAGTTGCTAAGCTACGATGTCGTAGTAGAAGCAAAATAAGTTAAGACAGTTAAAATCAGATTTAGTTCCCTCGTAATTCGACAGATGTGGACCTGAAAATATACGTTACCTGGGTGATTATTGCTGACTCTTCAGTCTTCGTTGGACGGAAGTACAACAACCATCATCTCGAAACAACAGCAGTTGGTACCAAGGTAAACACTCCAAAGATCACTGAAATTTAGTGCCATAGTGGCGACTACCATTCATTATTTTTTTGGAAATTGGTCCAATAGGCGAATGAATAAGTGTTTAGTGACCTGTAGCTCTGCTGATTCCCGAACGTTGTTTAAAAAAACCATACTTTCCGGATCTGTAGTTGGCACCATAACAAAGTCACACAGAAAGTTTAAGGGTTCTACAGGGCGGAACTAAGGCAGAATACAAAACCACGTCTAGTAATATGTCACGCCACGATAGGGGCGCAGTGTTCGGCTATTTAACCGGGCCCAGCCCGTAGATTGCGGAAGAGACAAGAGGGAACACCATGTTATTCCCAACACTACAGTATAATTAAAGAAGGAGCATGTGCATAGAAAGTTTTATGATAGACCTTTGCGCTTCGCCTTTCTAGAGTTTGAGCTAAGCGGCCCACAGTACAGTCAATTTCAATAACATCTCTTGACTGCCCATCTAGTGGAAAGAATGCTGGGTCTGTTCCTCCGCGATGGTTTTTAAATCAAAAGGACGATATAATGACTGATGGCACTGATCTGAAGAGGACAAAAACCCTTGAAGAAAATAGCCAGGAAATATTCTCTTTCAGTAAGTTGGTTATTAATAGGAAGCATAAAACTGGAAGACAATTTCTCAAACCACCGTTCCACGAGGCAAAGCCGTTCAAACACACCTTTGGGAACCCTACACAACTCGCGTTTACATATTCACGTCGGGCTATTCCAACCTTATTCAGTCTTTTATTGTACTCTGCATAGCCAGGTCTTGAGTCTGGTAACTTTCCTTTCTTTAATTTGTTCTTCTTTGGCAGCGGTGAAATTTCCCTCGGTGGCGGGGAGGGTGGCTTCCCTGACGCCGGCGGCATGGAGGTCATGTAGCAGGGTACCTTAAAGACGTACTCTTCTTTCTTCTCTGTCTCCTTATTGGCATGGTCAAGGCTGTTGTCCTCGAGATAGAACCACTGACAGCGTGGAGGCATTTCCACATAGCCACGATCTGGCGGATTCTCTCTGAAACACAGCAAGTCCTTGCGGCCACCCATCCTGGAGAGTTGGATGTAAGGTGTATCAGTGGGGCGGAACTTCGGCATCAAACTCGGGGGCTCCTCTTTGGGTTCGGGCATGAGACCGAGGAGAGGAATCTGAGAAATGGGTGGGGCGGGAGCGGGGCCCGTATGCTTGCGCAGAGGAACTTCGTGACAAAACCAGCCGACGTCTCGCTTACTCTGTCTCATGTTTTCTACTGGAAAAATACAAGAACATAGTGTATGTACAAAAGGTTCCGACAGGGTATTCAAAGACCTGTGGAAATGCGAGACAGAATCTTTTCACAAGTTGAACAATATGTATATCTGTTCTTCTCCTATTACAAATAGATCTTACGCCTTAATTGGTGTAGTGTCTTTACGAAGTAGACCCACCAGCCTTAGTCTTTTTCTGTCTCTTTAACGATATACCTAGAGCATCATGGAGTACCCAAAAAGAAACATGATAGAAGTCAACGGTGTGTAACTGCATCCGAGAAGTTGGCAACTCTCCTGGATCCGTATACAAGTTACTGATAAAGAAAAACATTTTGCCGAATAGAAATATGGAATCGACTCCGAATCTCATGGTGCTGGCTGAAAGCCCCATAAATAAACTATCACTCTTTGATTTTCAGTCTCGATAACCGTCGAGCATAAATTAGGCCGAATGTATGCATCAAAGAACTTTCAGGAAAAGAAAGATCATGATAGGAAAAGAATTTCGTAGTTGACAAGCGTTTGAACCTCAGGCTATAACACTCAAAATATTCCTTACCAGAAGCAGCGGACAGCAAACCCACTTTTTATAGTCGTTTTGCAGGAAATAGCGTCTTCTTCTGATGCAACGCGGGAACGGCATGGACCAGCACTGAAACATTCCGTAACCCCCATATTACCTGACACACTGGTTACATTCTCCCGTGTTTCAAAATGTCACATTAATCTTACGTGCAGTATGGCCTGAATGTCGTTCAACCAGTTCTTTAACGTCCCAAAACAAGGATACCTCATAAAACTCACATATTATTTAGGCATAACTGGCGTAGTTGGCATGCGCAGTGTAAAGGGTTAGTAAGGCTGCTGTTAGTAGATTACAAGCATTATTGGGCAAATGTTTTAAAACGTTGAATTGCATAATTGCCACCAGGCTTAATTATGTTGTATTCCAAGAAAATATTGTGAGTCCTCATAGGACGGCCACAAAAATGAAATCTCCATCATTCTTAAGACATATTAACCGACACTAAGTATATACTGAAATACTCCAACGTGGGATTACTTTGGGTCCCTGAAAAGGCTATCCATTTCCAGGATGACAGGGTGCACGAAAAAGCTTGAGACTGTATCCTGTGTTTATCAATCTTGCGCCTTCCATTCCAGCAATATTATTTGCTTGGAAGCATACTTAAAGGTTTCAGTTAACGTTTCGTGAGTCTCGATGAGTGAGAGAAAGTCCGACAAATCGTTTCACTTTGGTTTTCATTCAAAGAAAAGGATGTTTTATTATGTACGACTTATGAGTGAATTTTCTGGAACATGTTCTATAAAATTCCCCGCTTTAGATTTTTAAGGGTTTAAATGGCAGAGGTTATTCAATTAATTTTAAATCAAATGGGCATTTAAGCACGATCCTTATGGGGTCTAGTAATGCATGCTGGCTAGACCTTCGCATTTTGTTCATGATATTCAGAATTCGGAAAAGTCTATTCGGCAAAAGACGCCCTTGTTCATTCCTTGTAGATTTTGGGAGCAACGGATTACACCATGTAGCTTAGATTTCCTGTTCCTAAATTAGGTCTGCGTAGCGTAAACTAGTTTCAACTTCACACAATATCCACCCCGTGCACGTTAACTCAGAGGCTATTATCATTTGAAATATAGTTGGTACGAGATAAATTTTATCTAACTATTACATATGTATACATAATGGTAGAAGGGCGCTCACCGATCGCTCTACGGAACTCACTCGTCCCATTGTGTCTTGGGGATCTCTCTCCCCTGTCTTTGTCGGTAATGCTATTTTGCCTATATTACGCGCTGTTGTGCGGCTGCTGGCGGGGCTCGAGACAGGGAGAGAGAGAGGACGAGAGCCCCTAGACACACCGGGACGAGTGAGTTCCGCAACGCGAACGGTGAGCGCCCCTCTTCCATTGTATATACCCGATCGCAGCCGACAGGACAACGAGCCCCTGGCTCAGTGGTTAGGGGTGTTAGACTTCTAATCAACGGGCCGCGGGGTCGAGCCCCAGGTGTTCCACACCCCGAGGTTGGGTATGGCTGGCTGAAAACGACTAATAAGTCAGAAATGACCATTCCAGTCACTGTTGCCTTTGCCAGTAATGTTATTCTGCCTATATATTGGATTGGAAGGCAGAAATCCTAAGAAATATAAATTGAAAGCAAACACGTCCTTTGGGAAAGATAGAGAACTTCATTAGATAGATTTTCGACGCTGGTCCCCAGGTCGTCGCCAGACTTGCGTAAATGCGCAAAAACGGTTAAAATTTCAAACGTGCCGAAAAATCGGCATTCATTCAGTGTTGGTGCCAGTGAGCGGCCGCAAATAAATGTTACTTTTTCATAAATAATTAAGGACCAGTTAGCAGCCACCACTCCAATTCCTCATCCTAGACCCGCGCTTGCTAGCGAAAACGAAAATACTGGCAGCGAACGATCTGCGTGTTCGTGTAGTTCACTTCTATTTGGATTGTTTCAGGTATGCTTATGTAGAAAATTTTGTACAGTTCACCTACAGCCCGCTTAAGGTGATCAGAGGACTTTGATAAAAACCCAAGCAATTTTCGACGCGGAGAGTAAGAGGATTGTTAGTAGAGGCCTGCTTCACTTAATGCGCCTGTTGTTACACCATGCTATCCCTATTTTACGCGAGTTTTATATGATATAAAAAAGAAAACACAATACTGCAAAATGTACGTGAAAATTAAAGTTTTTAGACTGATAGCTTTGGACAGACAAGATATGCGGGGGGCTCAAAAACGGTAGACATAAATGTGGAAGATTTAAAATACTTCCTAAATACATCTCGCCGCAACTTCTAAAACCAATGTACTATACAAACTGCCCAAATTTGACGACAGTGCACATGCTCAAAGAAGACTGCAAAATTTCAAATTTTCATGTATACAGGCTACAGTAGTAAGTGCAAGGGATCCAAAGGAATGCATAAAAAACGCCTTTAACTGTAGTATAATAAAAGGGAGATAGTAAATCTGTAGAAGACGCCAGTTCGATCTGTTTAAAGAAAACTTTACAAGGAACATAAAAGTCAAGTTTCTGACAGGGAAGTATAATCTAATCTTAAAGTTATCCTGCGCAGTAGCAGCTTCTGTGAGTCGGACATGTCTCCTTTTGGCCAAATTTGAAGAATTAGGCCTGCTATCTTTTTGCAACAACGGAATATTCTAATAACAAGCGCAACATTGATAAAAGTTGCATAAACGTTTCCGGGACGCAAAGAGCACGGAATAAGTTCTACATTTTTTGCTATGTCTTTATCTCCAATTACTAGGTATTGTCAACGGTTATCAAAAATTTCCTTATTTAAAAGGATGCTCCTAAGGCGTTCAACTTCAAACTTAGTTTCTGTAGAAGACTTAGATTAGGGTTCCCCTTTATTTACATTGGAGGAACGTTAAAACTAATATGCGTGCTCGAGTGTCAACCAGTTGGTCAGTAGTAAATAAAAGGATACTATTTTTCAGGGAATTCTTGAGGCATGAATCTCTTCTTGCCTTTGTGTTAAAATTTGTAGGGCTATAAAGTGCTTAGTAGAAGTCAATAAACAGGGATTAGGGATGAGATAGCTAGTAGACAGAGAAACAGCAGCGGCCAAACTGGTGACAATAGTGTTCTCATTTGGACTTCAGGAAAAGTTAAGAATCAGGAGGCGGGAAGCGGGGGCAGAGAAGGAGCATGACTAGTAAAGCGTGCAACCGTAAGAAAAACGAAATGGTCGTTTGTCCGTATAGGAAAAGACAGTGGTCATAGCACAGACTGTTGAAGAAGATCGATTTGCATAGACAACTCATGTGACGTGATTTCTCGAGCATGCACGCCGAATTTCCTGCCTTCGAGAAACGTTTAAGTCAGGTGCTGGCGTTCCCTCCCATACTATTTTCATAAGACTTCTCAATAGGCATTCGACAAATAGCTGGCTCAAAACTTTTGTTCAGATTAAAAAATACAGCTTCGACATTTCCCTTACTGTCTGTTTTACTACACAGGTATATTTTCGTAGTGAGGAGCTTTGAGGCATGCTGTTCGCTGGGAGAAGCAACGCCAGCCGGGCTTTGTGAGTTTGTGTCCGTCCAGGAATTAATACAGATGGTCATGAATGACATTCTGTATGATTCCACAAACTCCAGTGATGAGACTGGCTAAAGTATATTTTACAACCGTTCATGGAGAGTAGGCGAGTAACCGGGGCGTATCTGCAGTCGCTGCTTTACCGGCTCGTTCTAAAACTGACCTCAACTATACTACATAAAGGACTAACTAATGCAGGGACGAGGAGTTTTGTGTGCCCCGGTTCTGGATCTTGTGTTTAGCCGCAATTGGTGTTTCTGAACGTCGGTTGACCAAACTGTCCAGCTTTCTAACTAAAAACCATCTCGAGAATAAAAGGGAGTACACGTACTTTGTCATCTAGATGAAGAGTTTTGATGACCTTGTGGAAGCCGATCTCTTCACCGTTCTTTCTATAGAAACCACAGTTTTTGTAATCAAATTTGTGTAATCTTTGTTTTTTCTATACTTATGGGTACAGCCGTGGTGTCTTTTTAGTTGAACTCTGATTAAGTTATCTAGTTGGTTTCTATCATATTTGATACTCTTCTTTTAAAGATTAACACGTAATTATTGCCATCATGTACACAAAAATATTTCCAGGCGATTTTTACTTTCCAGATGGGTGTCAAAGTTTCGTTTTCCTACAAACCCGCCATCTGGTCTCCAATAAACCATATTGGTAGACGATTTTAGATTATTTATTCACTTTGTGATCATACAAAAGTTTACGATGACTATGTTTCGTTTGATGAGAGCCCATAACACTTCTGTATCTGAAATGCCTCCTATTTGAAAAACTGGGTGGTTTCACTCGGAGGACATATTTTATAAAAGTCGAATGTTTACAAGTCTGTTCATCTTCACATATTTGTAGTTTAAAGATGACCTACTGGATTTTC